AACAATTCAGAGCACCCTGGGCCTCCTACTTCTTTGAGTCACGTTTCTCCATATATCTGATCCTGTGTTGGTGAACTAGCCACCTTCTCAGGGGAGTCCCCTGTCTCTTCCTTGTGGGAGACGGTGTGCCTGTTGCTTCCAAGAAGAGTTCCAGCTCTCTAATTCTTTGAAGCGTAGCTACACGTTCCTCCAGTTGCTGGACTTTGTCTTTTAAGAGGGCAATCAACATGCAATTGCTGCAGGTAAAGCTGCCTGCAACCTTTGGCAAGATGGCAAACATTGCGCAGGAACCACAGGCGACTGCAGCTGTTCCTCACCCTCCATCTGGGAACGTGTCGTAACAGATGGCAATGGGCTCCATTTATAAGTTTCTGGGTAACCACTTTCAAGATAAATGCAGCCATATGCTTCCCACCCTGTGTCATAAATCTGGTTCCTATTACCATTTTCATTAGCTACTAGGGGCTGTCCCCTGCCCTCTTTGCTCACTGCCCCTTATAACTCACCAACCCCCTCCCCTTACAGCTAGCCCCCCTAAACCCACCCCTTACAGCACCTCAAAACCCTCTCCTTATACTTCAGTAGCATCCAGTGAGGCAGTAAGGGTGGGGCTCTGTTGCTCTCCTGGCTTCCCAATACTACAGGGTGGGGGTCACTATTGCATAATGAGAGGGGAGAGGAGAGATAAAATGTAAGTCCCATTGCCTGTTAAAAGCCTTATGTTCCCTTTCATTTTCTTTGATGACGTTTAACTTATGGTGTTGATGCTTTCTTGCTTTCAGGGCCGGTTCAGAGTTCAGACCGAGTGATGGCCATAATGGCCCTGAAGATCCCTCAGGGTCAGGTAGGCCTCCGAAGAACTCAGCACCTGGCTGGAAGATGCGGCTCTGCAGAGATCATTGGCTTGGCCTGAGTTCTGAATCATAGGCTGGGGAAATGCAGGCCCATTGTCTTCCACAGAGCCTGTAGAAGGGTCTACCCTTCCAATTGCTTCTGTTCCATCAGTATTGCTGCCAGACGGCTCCCAGACACATGAAAAGTCCATGGAATACTTTTCCGGAGATTTGTTGGGGTGAACAATGGCCTCACTCCTTCTTTGTTCTCACCCTCTTTCACTTCTGATGTCACGGGAAGCTCTCTGCTGATGGAAGAGTCCTTGGACAACCTCCCACCTTCTGGTTTGGGACCTTTGCTTCTTGCAGAAAAGACTCACTCTCCTGGTCTGCCGTGATGCTGTAGGCAGGTGGCGGCGACCGGTTGTCCCAAGTTTCATGGAGCACTTTGTAGGAGTCAGGGTCGCTGTCCTCACTGCCACTGATCTCTTGAGTAAGAGGGTCGTAGGTGAAATAGACCTTGCAGGGCTCAATCTCGAGGGAATCATCGGTGTGGAAGAAAAAATAGCCCCGGTTGGTAAAGCAGCTGGATGAAGAATGTCCACTAGTCTCTGGTGCGTCCGTATTAGTAGGATGTTCCTTGGGAAGGAGGAGGCAAGGCTCTTGACTGCCTTTCTGCATCACCTCAAGGCACAGAAACATCTGGAACTGCTGCAGCCAGGTAGAAAGGAAGACATGGGCGCTGGTGAGGAAGAGCCACTTCTGTTGGTTTTAGTGGGGAAGCACAAAAGAAAAACAAAGGGTAACGTTCAAACAGCTGCGATGCCACCATTCAAAGAAACAAGCAGAAGTTGGCGAGTGTTCCATTCACGTAGTTCAATAAATTGAACTCCATACAGAATAGCTTCCCCTGATCTTTAATCTAGGGCTGGGGAACTGGATCCAGTTGGCAGGACCCATTTTGACAGGTGAGCCGTCTCTTTTTGTAATAACATCCTGATTTCTAACTGATGCAGGGTGGTTTAAAAATATGTCCACAAATAAATAATAGCAACGACTTTGGTCATGCTACTTAGAATAAGGGCTAAAACTGGAGGGGAAGAAATGTGTTTCAGTTTGCATTTTCCACATGACTCTACCAAATTTGCACTTCCTTGAAACAACATGTGGGCTGAAAAGCAGCTCCCTCCTTCAACATTCACACTTCTCTGAATTTTGAGATGCAGTTCTCCATGCACATTAAATTAAGGGAAATTGTACATAACCGTCAGTATATCAGGAGAGATGCACACTATTATTATTTTTTGCAATGACTATTTTTTCAATAGCACCAATGTGGCAAACTCAACATAAGACTGGAAAAATATGAAACTGAGAAAAAAAAATGAAATTGATGGATTAATCCCTACCACAGATATACAGTATTTGTGTGGATTATGACTTGTCTAAATTTACCAATAGCAACTTTCAGACAGACAAAAATCAGATTGAATACAAATACTACAATAGGAGGGATTGAGAGTCTTTGCTGCGCCACACAAAAAAACATGCAAAGTGAAATGTTGCAAGCTGCACTTAAGGTTGGATAAATGAGAAGCTTAAGATAAGCAAAAACTATCCATCCCAAATTACAGGCAGCAGTCTTGTCCTCCATCTCCTTACCCCCTCAACCTCCAAGTCCACCTTACCTGGATATCTCCTCCATGGACAGCAGTGAGAGATGGGAAGAACTCAGCAGGGTCTGGCAAATGGATCTTCAGCACCTTCCTTAAACTAAAGCAAACAGAGCTTAGGGTGAGAAGGGTGCAAAGGGAATATGGATTTGGACAACAGTACAACTAAGCATAGCCAGGAATGGAGGAGGGTGGTGGACTAGTCATGTGGATGTTCGGCAGCTCTTTAACCAGGCCTTTGGTTGATGGACATCTGATGCCCTTTTAGACATCTTGTGGAAGGGGGGATTATTAGGTTGTCTTTGTTCTTATTTTTATTAGTGGGTGTTTTATATTGTAATTTTATGTTGTGAACCGCCCTGAGATCTACAGGTATAGGGCAGTATACAAATTTAACAATTAAATAATAAAAAATGTAATTTGTTCAATTGAAAAAAGGCAAAAAGGGTATTAACAGCAACATAAAGCCTCTGCCTAGTAGGTAAAAGAAAGGTAAAATACCCCTGGACAGTTGAGTCCAGTCGAAGGAGACTATGGGGTTGCGATGCTCATCTTGCTCTCAGGCCCAGGGAGCCGGCGTTTGTCCACAGACAGCTTTCCAGGTCATGTGGCCAGCATGGCTAAACCGCTTCTGGTGTAACGGAATGCCGTGACAGAAACCAGAGTGCATGGAAACACAGTTTACTTTCCTGCCACAGTGGTACCTATTTATCTACTTGAACTGGTGTGCTTTCAAACTGCTAGGTTGGCAGGAGCTCAGACAGAGCAATGGAAGCTCACCCCGTTGTGCGGATTCAAACCACCGACCTTCTAATCAGCAAGCCCAAGAAGAGGCTCAGTGGTTTAGACCACAGTGCCACCTGTGTCCTTATTATGAATGAAATCTAAGGACACATCATTCCTCCTCCTCCTCCTCAGCAACAACAACAACAGAAACAGAGGATTTGGATGACTGGGAACCATGTGAGATTTCTGACTTAGGTCTCAAAAATCCAGAGAAAACCCTGATGCCATTTTTCAGGCTGGTTCTGCCCATTCAGCAGAGTGCAGCGGTAGAAACATGAGGCAGTGGAGAAGACAGACTGTACTCCTTCAGACTGCAGGTGTGGGTGGGTATCATGTCTGAAGATTCCCCTTCAGAAGAAAACTCCTTGCACGAAGAAAACTAAAGCCTAGGGGAGAAAGGTTCAAGATGAGTCCTTTCCTTGCTCAGCTAATTTTCTGCTTAGGAAGTGCTTACATCAAGGATCATTAAAAGTGGATTCTTCCAGCTGCAGTCAGAAGCTACAGCCCATTCTACCACCTCATTCCCAGCACATGCAGAAGTGACCATTATCACAGTTTAGCTGTTGGCTAAGGAAACATGGCTAGTGTCCCTGTATGGCAGAGTATGGAAGCAAGATCTCTGTTCCCTGTTACCGTTTTGATGCCGGTGATTTGCCCCTCAGGAAAATGGCGATGAAGATGGGGAAGATGAAGACGAGACTCCCCAAAAGGGTGAGAAGAACTGTCAGGAGCAGACTTGGAGACGATGCATCCCCTACAAAGAGGATGAATTAGCCATTCATTGAAGACAGTTGATTCCCATCTGAACCAAAGGAACAGGTGTATACAAATTGCCTCTTAAAATTATCCACCCTATTGGTGTGCAGAGATACAGAATTTCTCCAGGTGTGGGAGAAATTCACCAGCCCAGGGTTGGTTCTTAGCAGTGCTTGTTTCCTAAGATTCTTTTTGAATGTGGTGCTGCATGGGTACGGTACCCACCAAGGAAGAGTGGCAGTTTAAAATGCCAGTTTAAAAGAGTGGCAGTTTAAAATGACAACTGTGTTGTCAGGCTAGCCCCTTTCCTACAACCTCCACAGTGTCCCAGACTATTGTCATTCCAGGGAATTGTGAGGGAAGAAGGGAGGTGGAATGGTTGGCATTCACACACACACACACACACACACACACACACACACACCTACAGTGGAGAATATTCAGAAAAAGTTCTGCAAAGTGGCATTATTTTCTCTAAGGGGTTAGAAAAGAGAGAGCACAATCTCAGAATTTTCCTCTGAAAAAAATGTTTTCTGAATTTAAAATTTGAAATTTGGCAGAATATTTGGACTATATGATATGTATTTGTATAATTCGGAATACTTAATGTGATTTGATTGGGTTGTTAAAATGGAAATTTAATAAAAATTATTTAAAAAAGAAAAGAAAAAATGTTTTCTGGGAAATTTTGGCTCAGCCTTCATCCTCAGATGGAGTGCATGGATTTAAGTGTGTGCAACTCAATGCACCCCTGCAAGTGTTGGTCTCCATTCAACAAAAAAAAGTGGAAGGGGATATTTATATATGGGTGGCTGAAGCACTTTTTTTAGTGCTCCCTTGAATAATTAATAGCAAATAACATTTGCACTTTTATTTTGTTGCTCTCCCCTTGCGAACACACACCTTGATAACCTCTAAAGTGTCCCATGATGGCTTCCAGATTAAAAGCAGATATGTACAACAAGAAAAAAAAATGAGAAGGGCCTAAAAACCGTACCTTTAGAATAGGAATGGGGGACCTGTGGCCTGCCAATGTTGCTGGACTACAACTCTCATCACCCCTGACTGCTGCATCCTATTTTATGGGCAACCACAGAAGGGGTTTTTTTTTAATACTTAATTTCAGCAAGGGGAGACTCAGTGGCCCCATGTAGACAACCTTGCTGTAGTAAGTATGCTCAGGCCTGCAACCTACAAGGATCAAAAAGGTTTGGAAATGCATACTCTGAAGGGTGGGGGGAAATGTATAAAATTACACTTTTAAGCGTGAATCTTCATGCAGTTTTTTTAAAAAAATGCAGTATCTCAAATTAATGTCTGAATGAGACTGAACAGACTTATGGGTGATCTCATGTGAAATTAACATCAGCTAAAAATAGCTCGATTTGCTCATTCCTAGAGTGGCAGGCTGTATGTGCAAAGGCCTCTGATAATGCAAGATGTTTTTACACTGACAGCTACATTAGTCAAATTACGACGTTATAAATGTGTTATATCACAGAGGCACCAGATGGCGCTGCAGAACTGAAATCTCAACTCAATATTTTCCATTGTGAGAAGTTTAAAAAGTATTTTTTTCAGAGTGTTTTCATAGCGTTTTTTAAATAGCTGTGTAGATCCAGTCAGGGTAGAAAGTATATGCTTTTCTTGAAGATTTCCACCCCGTGCTCCAGTACATAGATACACCCCTGATTACATGCTCAGAGCCTGTTTGACACTAAGTCCACCCCATCCCCAAATTTATAAAGGCTTTGGGGTCCTTATCTGTCCCATTTTTCAAGTATCCTACAGGTTTTGTTCTGTGAGCCTTACCTTTATGGGTCGTCCATGTTACAGGCATGCTCCATTTGCTCCATGTGCTATTGTAAAGAGCCGTGCTCTTTTTTACCTTCACACGAACAGCGGCCTCATACATTGTGTCAGGAGAAAGAGTCTCAAATTTCATCCACCTCTGATCCTGAATATTGGAGCCGATTATGTAAGCCTGCAAGATGGAGTCAAAGGTGGGGAATGATTTCAGACTGTGTGCACGCCTTGATTATGCACAACATGTTTGTGCATTGCTGCCCTCCAGAAGAACGTAAGGAGAACCCATCTAGTCCAGCATTCTGTTCTCATCTGGCAGTGGATGTAGTTCATGGGTAGTAGCCACTGATTGCTTTATCTTCCATGAACTTATCTAAGCCTCCCTTAAAGTAATCTAAGTTGGTGACCATCACTACTACTTCTTGGGACTGAATTCCGTAGTATAATTATGCACTCTGTAAATAAGCATTTTCTTGAGTAATTATGAATCTTCCAACAATCAGCTTCATTGGATGTTCCCAAATTCTAATGTTATTAGAGGGCAGAGAAACTTTTCACAATCCACTTTTTTTTTTGCACCAAGCAGAGTTTTTATATACCTCTACCGTATCTCCTCTAGCTCACCTTTCTCTAAATGACGAAGTCCCAAATGCTGTATCCATTACTACTACTATATTAAATTTGTATAGCATCTGTCGATCTCAGGGTGCTTCACAACATAAAAATACACTATACAAACTGCAAAATACATGATAAATATAAAAACAGCAACAAACCAATAATCCCCTCCTTCCATGACACATTTAAAAGGGCATTGGATGTCACTCAGCCCAAAGCCTGGTTGAAGGGGAATGTTTTCACCTGGCACCTCAAAGTGTATAATTAAGGTGCGAAGCAAATCTCCCTGGGGAGAGCATTCCACAAATGGGGAGCCACTGCAGAAAACTCCTGTTCTTGTGTTGCCACCCTCCAGACCTCTCAAAGAGGAGGCACCCGTAGAAGGGCCTCAGATAATGATCTCAGGGTCTGGGTGGGTTCATATGGAGAGAGGTGTTCCTTGAGGTATTGTACTGGGATCTGCCCAACAATTCCTTAATCTCTATATGGACACACACTCAGTGATTATCTTGATCTGTTCCGTTAGGGATGATCAACTGATTGAGGCATGAGAGCCTGACTTCTTTGACCTTCTAAAGGTAAAGGTACCCCTGCCCGTATGGGCCAGTCTTGACAGACTCTAGGGTTGTGCGCCCATCTCACTCTATAGGCCGGGAGCCAGCGCTGTCCGCAGACACTTCCGGGTCACGTGGCCAGCGTGACAAGCTGCATCTGGCGAGCCAGCGCAGCACACGGAACGCCGTTTACCTTCCCGCTGGTAAGCGGTCCCTATTTATCTACTTGCACCCGAAGGTGCTTTCGAACTGCTAGGTTGGCAGGCGCTTTGACCTTCTACTTAACTTCTAAGACAAAAGGTATGGGCAGCTAACCAATAAATACTTCACTTTCTCACAGGGGCACCGACTTGCCCCCCACATTGAGGGGGCCCAGCCATGTGACGTGTCACATGATGTCACCCAGCATGTGCCGGGTGGGGGCAGGACACATGGAGGGCAATCTTTGCCTTTGCTCGTTCCAGCCCCCACCCAGCTCCTGAGCTCCCAGGTAGGGGCTGAGGAACGCAGAGGGTGCCTGGCTGTGGCAGGAGATGTCAGCCCCCTCAAAATTGGGGTGTGTGTGTCAGTCCCCTACCCACCAATATTGAGGGGGCGGAAGGTATAGTTGGTGCCCCTGCTTTCTCAAGAGAAAGTAGCATTTCTGCTGCACCTCTAAAATGTATCACTTTATTGTTTTGGATCTTGTATTAAAATGGCTTTCTGGGTCCAAGGAAAGGAAAGAAAAGTGGACTACAAAAGAATTGTTGTTGTTGTTTAGTCGTTTAGTCGTGTCCAACTCTTCGTGACCCCATGGACCAGAGCACGCCAGGCACTCCTGTCTTCCCAGGCACCCCTGTCTTCTACAAAAGAATAAACCAGATCAAATCTTTACCATCCATATAGATGTCTCTTCACACTCACCTTGCTAGGATCTATTTTTTTATATCGTATTTGGTACTCCACCTCATTTTCTAAATAATGTGAGAGAGCACAGAGCTTCCAAGTTAAATTGTAGGAAAGCTTCTCGTCATTTTCCATTTGGACGTTGCAAGGAGACCGCAGTCGAACTAAAGACAACAAGAGAGGACCAGCAGGTAACATTAACAACAAAACTGCTGAGCTGGGTACACATTAACATTTGCTGTGGTTCCAGTGCTCTTCCACTGCTGACTTTTGAATCTGTCTACACATGAAGTTACCCGCAACACAGAGCTATCCTGTCACTTCTTGAGAAATGATGTTGTTTGGTGCCTTTTCTCTGAAACCAGCTTCAATCTGAAAGGAAAACTTGAGCCACACCCGCTTGGCAGTTAAGCTGACGTGTGTGCATTTGAGACAGGCATTGCACACGTGCAGATGACACCTTCATGATTGACAGTTCAGGGGGGTGCAGGGGCAGGGAAATCCAACAGGTAATGTGCACCAGGTGAAGACTCTCTAGTGTATAGAACAGCATGCAACTCACAACATGAAATGCAGCATTTTAAGCCTCTACTGTGTGCCTTAGCCAAAGGTAGCGATGGATGAATCTTTCAATTTCAGTTCTTCTCAGTTTCTCCTTTTTCTAATCTTCAACTCAGCTCAAAACAGTTCCACGTCAATTTGCATTAGAAAAAAATCCTCCTCACAAAAATCTGCTAGCAATTAAGTGTGCATTTCTCCTACGATACAGTATGCATTGCCACATACAATTCCCCCTAATACATACATTTTTGCAGTTTCCCCTAATGTAATGCATTTTGTGTTATTTTCAAACACGCATGCAATTTAAGAAAAAATTGTATATCACTTAACTGTAAATGAAACCTTAAAGCAGTTTGCTAAGACTATAAAATATTCTCTTTTTAATGTGTTTTTATGCACCTTTTCTACTAATATACACAGTTTAATGCATTTCTAGGGGGTTGAGAACTGCATCTCAAAATGTGGAGAAGTACAAATTTCTAAGGTTTGCTACACAGAATCATAGAAACATAGAATTGTAGAGTTGGAAGGGACCTCTGGGTCAACTAGTCCAATCTCCTGCAATGCATGACTCTCAACTAGATCATACATGACAGATGACCCTTCAACCTTTGCTTAAAGACCTCCAAGGAAGGAGAGTCCACCTCCTCCCATGGGAGTCCATTCTACTGTCCAACAGCTCATACCATCAGAAAGTTCTTCCTATGTTTAGTCGGAATCACCTTTCTTGTAACTTGAAGCCACTGATTCAAGTCCTAGCTCCTGAAGAAATGAGAAAACAAGCTTGTTCCATCCTCCATGTGACACCCTGTAGATATTTTAAAATGGCTCCCCTCTCAGTCTCCTCTTTCCCAGGCTAAACATACTCAGCTCCCTCAACCTCCCTCACAAGTCTTGGTTTCTAGACCCTTTATAATCTTGGTTGCCCTCCTCTGTAGATGTTCAAGCATGTCAATATCCCTCATAAATGGTGGCGCCCAAAACTAGACACAGTACTCCAGGTGTGGTCTAAGGCAGGATAGAACGATACTATTACTTCCCTTGTTTTGGGTAGGCTTGCATTAAAATGCAAGCTGAACTGAATGAACCTACAACACTCCATATGTTGTTGTTAAGTTACAATATTCATAATACTCAGTCATTGGCTATCTTGGCTTGGGATGATGGAGGTTGGAGTCCACAGTTTCCCAATCCTTGTAGCACAGTCTGTTGTAGCAGTAAGCCTCAATCTCTCAGTGAAAACGGGCCTTGCTCCACTCTTCTCTGCATGACTATCTCACAGATAGAAAATCACAGCCAGTGGTGGAGCAAGCCCAGGTGGGGCCAGCTGCCTGCGGGGAGGAGCGAACCAGGGCAGGGCACTTCACAGGGCCCCCAAGGGTCCTCCTCCCACTCAGCCGCCCTACAGCTGAGGGGCAGGTGGCGGGCGGACCATTTGGGCAGCGGGGAGCCTGCGCTCGCCCAAGCCACCACATCTCTCCCAGGAGAGACGTGTGGCTAAGGCGCACTACAGGTCCCACGGTGAGTACCACCCGGCATTTTGCCATGCCCCTCAGTGGTGACACCCAGAGAGAACTGCCCCTACTGCACCCCCTTCCCCCGCCCCTGATCACAGCTACAAGGCCTGCAGTGAGACAAACCACATTGTCCTCCCATCTAACTTACACCTGTCACTCACTACTGGAGGAACAATAAATGGAACATCTTTGCAGGTAAAGGTAAAGGTACCCCTGCCCGTACCAGTCGTGTCCGACTCTAGGGTTGTGCGCCCATCTCACTTAAGAGGCCGGGGGCCAGCGCTGTCCGGAGACATTTCCGGGTCACGTGGCCAGCGTGACAAGCTGCATCTGGCGAGCCAGCGCAGCACACGGAAACGCCGTTTACCTTCCCGCTGACGATTGGCAAGTCCTAGGCGCTGAGGTTTTACCCACAGCGCCACCCGCGTCCCCTCTTTGCAGGTAGGGGAACTGAAATAACCAAGTGTTTGTTGCTGCACAGTCAGGAACCAATGCCACACTCCCTCTGTTTCTGTTGGGGGTGGGTCCCTTTGCAGGAGTCACAGCTGTAACAGCTATAGGGGAAGGGGGTGGTAGAGAGAGACGTTTACCATTTACATTGCTCTCCCTTTTGACTTAATGTTTATTTATGAAAATAATTTATAGACCACATTTTTATTTTTTAAAAAACACAGCAGGGTGGTGGACAGCAGATAGAATTACAATGAGATAAAGAAAAACGCCAATAAAATGTGTAGAGTTAAACATAAGAAAAGTCCTGCTGAATCAGGCCACTAGTCCATCTAGTCCTGCATCCTATTTTTACAGTGGCCAACCAGATGCCTGTGGGAAGCCCAAAAGCAGAACCTGAGCAGAAGAGCACCCTCCCCTCCTGTGGCTTCCAGCAACTGGTATTCAGAGGCATTACGTCCACTGACAGTGGGCATAGAACATAGCCAATAACTACATATTCTTTGGCAAAAGAGCCCTGCCCAGCTAGGAAATGAAAGAGCTGAACGCTTGTTGTTGCATGTCTAGGGGCCAGTGGAGTCCATCTTAAAGGAGTCACAGCCATAACAGGAGTAAGTTTATTGGGTTTGTTGCGGCTGATAATCAGAAGTTCCTCCACCCTGACCATAGTATCTTGTCTGTCTCATTTACTGTCAGTTTGTCGCCCAAGAACAGGAGATCTGATGGCAGGATAAGATACTACATGAAATGACAAGAGGGAAGATGTGGTTGGGCTCAGCCCTACTCTTATCTTTGGCCCATTCTAAGTCATATGGACTTGGTACACACACATTGTCCTTTCCTGACCTTGATGACTGCTAATGTCAAGTTAGTTACAAATAAAGCATCTCTTCTTTGCAACCTTATTTTGGTGCTACTTGGAAGGTGGTGGACTCTTGTTCATTGGAGGCTTCTAAACAGAGGAGGGGTGGCCATCTGCCATGGGTTCTTTAGTTGTGATTCCTGCATTGCAGGAGGTTGGATGAGATGGTCTTCTGGGTCCTTTCCAACTCTAAAATTCTATGATGCTAATGATTCATCGCTCATTAGGGTTTAGGTGCATGGGGCTGTTGCTTGCCACGTGTCTTTCTCCTTATGAAGGTACACAAACAGCAACTGCATTCACACAATCAAATTTAATAATACAGGAACACAGAGAGCAGCCTTATTCTGAGACAGACCATTGGTCCACTTAGCTCAGTATTTTCCACACTGATTGGCAGTGGTTTGGCTTTCAGGCAAGTGTCTCTCCCAGTTCTATTTGGAGATGTGACCTTCTGCATCCAAGGTCTATGCTATACCAATGGGTTACAGCCCTTCTACAGGGATCTGCACAACTAACTTGCACCCACACATAGTCCAGTTGCTGCCACTTTACTCCTTCCACCACCCAAGTAATGAAACAAACCCAGAACCTGCAGTAAAACAATGGCTTCTTGTTATGTGCTAATTGGAGAAGTGCGGCTATTGGCTTCTAAACAAGCCAGAATTTGGAAACCAACTTTTATACCCTGCTACAAAGCTGGTTTCTAGATCTGGATTGTTTGGAAGCCATTAACCATAGTTCCCAGTTTTCATGTAACCATGGTTTCTGGTCTGTGCAAAGGAGGATCAAAGCTGGAGCAAAGGGGCTGAGGGTAGATGCATAGAGCTCAATCCCCAGATTTGACCATGTGAACCAAGGCAGGGCACAGCCTTGGTTGTGTGTGTGAATATATATTTGGGATTGGGTTTCAAGGACAGTTTGGGGTTATAGCTGCCCAGTGGGTGCCTGTGCATTACAATGGATTGTGAAGCATCACAATGGCTTCCATCCAGGCAAGATTATTTGCCCTGAGATGGACTCATGTCCTATTATCCACAGCTGAACAACAAACTGGCTGTGTAGAAGCTGTCAAATGGGAGCTCAGGTGCAGTGAATAGGTAAAGGCATGATATCAGAGTAGTCAACATGGTACCCTCTAAATGTTGATGGACTCAAACTCCCATCCGTCTGAGCTAGCATGGGACAAGGGGAGCTGTAGTCCAGCAACATCTGGAAGGAACCTTGTTATATGGTCCAAAAAGATAGCACAGTGCATCGCATCAAGAAATGTAGGCACTTTAAACTCACGGTTCTGAAAAGGACACATCCTTTGATTCTGCATCCACGTCCAGTTCTGCCCAGTATGGCAATAAACTTCCACATGAATAGCGTGTGTAATAGTCATGTCAAATTTCTGAAGACAAATAAAAGCATTATTGTGATCATGATCAGTTATACTATCATTAGAGATGTTGGAAATAATAGTTGGAAAGGCTAGTATCTATAATTTGAACCCATCAGCTGGTGAGTCAAAAATTCCTGACAGCTGTGCCACACCTGCTCACCCCACCACCCAGCTTCACAAATTGTAACCGGAAGTAGCAATGGGTGAACGTGTCAGTTTTGGTTTCTCTCTCTCTGTTTCTCACTTTCCCAGTTCAGTTCTCCACATTTCCATATCGCTTTCCTCCCCACCCCCAAAAAAGCCTTCATGAAAATTAATCAGCACTTTAGTGTGAATTTATCCTAAGACACACATTTTAATACGTAATTTTGCCTAACATGCACATTTTTACAAAGCAGCTTCCTATAATATAATGTAATTTTCATGAATACATGTATAGAATCAAAGAATTTTAGAGCTGGAAGTGACCCTCAGGATCATCTAGAAAGGGCAAATTAGGTTCATCATGAAGTTAATCATCATCATCATCATTCAATGGCGAGTTGCTTTATTATGACATTAAACACTTTGTACTCTTTAGTAATTTTATGGATTGTGATTGTAAGGCCCCTTAAGGACTGCTCTCATTGCAGAAAGGCAGCATATGAATGTAACAGATAAATAAAAAATAAAACACATATCCTAGGGCTATTAGATTAGTTTTCAGGCTGTAGAGATATATCCATAGAAGAATGGTGTGAGGCAGCTGTGGGGAATCTTTGGCACTCCTGATGTTGCTAAACTACAACTCCCATCAGCCTCACCAAGCATGGCCAATGGCCAGGGATGATGGGTTTTGCAGTTTGGAAACATCTGGAGAGCCAGAGGTTCCCTGCACCTGATGTAGGAGGAATATCAGAGGAATGCTGCCCCTTTTTCCTCCCCCTTCCAAGGAAGAAGGAGATAACCAAAACAACATGGAGAGAGGAGTAATGGTGGTATAACCTCTGGTTCCCTACATCCTAACAGTAAATAATTTTGAGCTATTCTCTGCTGCTGGGGCAGAAGTTTCAACTTTATGGCACAGCTGCTCACAAAGGGAAAACAGACTAAAATTGTAGCAGCATCTAGGGCAGGCATAGGCAAACCCGGCCCTCCAGATGTTTTGGGACTACAACTCCCATCATCCCTGACCACTGGTCCTGTTAGCTAGGGATGATGGGAGTTGTAGTCTCAAAACATCTGGAGGGCCAAGTTTGCCTATTCCGGATCTAGGGCATGGGTAGGCAAACTAAGGCCCCGGGGGCCGGATCTGGCCCAATCGCTTTCTAAATTCAGCCCACAGACAGTCTGGGAAACAGCGTGTTTTTACAAGAGTAGAATGTGTCCTTTTATTTAAAATGAATCTCTGGGTTATTTGTGGGGCACAGGAATTCGTTCATTTTTTTCTCTCTTCAAAATATAGTCCAGCCCCCCACAAGGTCTGAGGGACAGTGGACTGGCCCCCTGCTGAAAAAGTTTGCTGACCCCTGATTTAGGGGCACTTGAAATTCTAAATTATTGCAGCAAATGTATTTTCAAACAATTATAATGAGAGCAACAAACAGCTTCTCCTCGTTAGCTAGCATTTTCTTATTAGATTACCCACCAAAACGTTCAGCTCACAGCTCCTGTTGGCTATACCTTGCAGTTGACATGTCTCCGGTCCTTTGTACCTGTCAGACCTGTAAGAAACAATTCCTGTGAGGTGCTCTGCTCCTCAAGCTTCATGTTTGGTGGCTGTTTCATACATTCTAGTTATCTCCCACTTGGACTACTGCAATGCGCTCTATGTGGGGCTACCTTTGAAGGTGACCCGGAAACTGCAATTAATCCAGAATGCGGCAGCTAGACTGGTGACAGGGAGTGGCCACTGGGACCACATAACACTGGTCCTGAGAGATCTGCATTTACTTCCAGTACGTTTCCAAGCACAATTTAAAGTGTTGGTGCTGACCTTTAAAACCCTAAAGAGCCTCTGTCCTGTATACCTTGAAGGAGCGTCTCCACCCCCATCATTCAACCCGGACACTGAGATCCAGCGCCGAGGGCCTTCGGGTGGTTCCCTCATTGCGAGAAGTGAGGTTGCAGGGAACCAGGCAGAGGGCCTTCTCGGTAGTGGCGCCTGCCCCGTGGAACGCCCTCTCTTCAGATGTGAAGGAAATAAGCAGCTATCCTATCTTTAAAAGACATCTGAAGGCAGCCCTGTTTAGGGAAGTTTTTAATATTTAATGCTGTATTGTTTTTAACACTTGAATGGGTGCCACCCAGAGTGGCTGGGGAAACTCAGCCAGATGGGTGGGTATAAATAAATAATAATTATTATTATTATTATTATTATTATTATTAGGCAGGTTATTAGGCCAATCACAAGGTTAACCAAGACATGAATCATAGCAACCAAGCCATTCCTGCTATGGCTTGCTCTCGTATGCAAGCCTTGACATGCTCTTGTTGTCAGGCAATAAACCATTATGTGTGATGAACCAAGTCAAGTGCTAAATCAATTTTTAGAGGTTAGGGAGGAGCTCCTATCTCCCAATATGCTTTTCCAGATTCCAGCTGTCCTTAGAAGTACTAAAAGCACAGAGCAAATGATAAGGGATATTCAAAACAAGCTGGAACATTTCCTCAAACAGGTGGAGTAGCACAGAATACTGCAATAACTTTCAGAGGCAAACATACTGTAAATATTCTTTGCAATAACAGTCTTCTTTGGCTCTATCTGCACCACACATTTAATGCAGTATCATATTAGTTTGAACAGTCATAGCTTTCCCCAAAGAATCCTGGGAACTGTAGTTTGTTAAGGGTGCTGAGAATTGGTAGGATTCCCCTCACAGAGCTAAAATCCCCAGAGTTCCCTGGGAAGAGGGATCGACTGTTAAGCCACTGTAGCTCTGTAAGAGGAATAAAAAAAGGTAAAGGACCCCTGACCAGTCGTGTAGGAAGGGTGTGTGTGGAGTGGGCGGGCCACCCTGGTTGCCACTGTGGGAGGGGGGACAAGATGGCCCCTGCCTCCGCCCAGCTGTAGAGCGGCCGAGGGCAGCCACAGTCCATAAGGGCGCCGCTCGTGCGGTGTCAGTACAGGCTGCCACTCTCATGCACCGTCCGCACGGGCATCCTTACGGGCTGCCGCTCTCGCATCGTGACTGGCTGCTGCACGCGAGTAGCAGCCCGTATAGACTGTGTATGTGCAGCATCGCATACAGTCACCACACATGCTCAGTCCGTACGGGCTGCGCTGCTCCAGGTGCCAGAGAGGATTCCTCCGCCATTGCCCCTGACAGTTAAGTCCAATTGCAGATGACTCTGGGGTTGAGGCACTCATCTCGCTTTACAGGCCGAGGGAGCCAGTGTTTGTCCACAGATAGTTTTTCCAGGTCATGTGGCCAGCATGACTAAGCCGCTTCTGGCGCAGTGGAACACCAAAACCAGAGCAGCGGACGGAAATGCCGTTTACCTTCCTGCCAGAGTGGCACCTATTTATCTACTTGCACTTTTTGGCATGCTTTCGAAATGTTAAGTGGGCAGGAGCTGGGACTGAGCAACGGGAGCTCACCCAGTCACGGGGATTTGAATTGCCAACCTTCTGATGGGCAAGCCCAAGAGGCTTAGTGGTTTAGACTACAGCGCCACCTGCGTCCCCTGTAAGAGGAATAGGAATAGGAGTTTCCTAACAACTCTCAGCACCCTTTACAAATCACAGAACCCAAAATTCCTTGGGGGAAGTAATTGAAGTTTAAAGTGCTACGATACTGTTTTAAATGCATAGAGCTAAAAGGCAGCATATGATCCTTAAAAACAAAGACCGAAGAGAGGACAACAATCCTGATAGAACAACAAGGCTGTTCTTTATCATTCATAAATATATTTCACTCATTACTCACGTTGACTCAAGTCGAACCTCGAGCTGACATTGTGCTTCAGTGATATTTTTCATCGGGGTCCAAGTGCATGAGAGAATCTCCACTGAGTCATAAAAGCAACTGAGACTTGAGGAATCTGTTAATGAAAAGGTGAGGCTAAATAGCATGGAGTTACATCTGATGCTCTGTGAAAAATACTAAGATAGGTTATTCTGTTTGGGGAGTATAAGAATGGTTTCACACAAGCTCAGAGAATTACTTTCATTTTGGGGCATCCCATTTGCCTTTGGCTGACCGTTGTGGCCATTCTGGACCTTGAATACAGGCAAGGGCACCATCTTTTCCAACCAGAATTCCCCTGTCTTTGCCCACTGAAAACTGTTCTTAATGTTGTTATGAGATTATTATTTTTTTTTGGGGGGGGAGGAGGAAGTAGGCTGTATGTAGAGGCCCTCCTAACCCCTGGTGTTAAAATATAGCCAGGCTAGCTTCCTGTTGGGGTGATAGCCTGGGTTATGGGCCATTCAGGGAAACAAAGGAAAGGAGTTCTGTATGAGATGGCAAATGGGTGGGGTCCCTCCTTCAAACTGGTGGGAGCCAGTGTGGTGTAGTGGTTAGGAGCAGTAGTCTCATATTCTGGTGAACTGGGTTCGCGTCTCTGTTCCTCCACATGCAGCTGCAGGGTGACCTTGGGCTGGTCACACTTCTCTGAAGTCTCTCAGCCCCACTCACCTCACAGAGTGTTTGTTGTGGGGGAGGAAGGGAAAGGAGAAAGATGAAGCCAGAGTCTGGAATTGAGTGGCAGTGATGTGAGCTAGAAGCAAAGCAGCAAGCCTGAGCAACATTTGATTTCTGTTTGAATCCAAGGCTGCAGCTATGGGACAAACAAGACTCTCTGGTGGTGCTGAGCGGCGTAGCTAGCCTCTTGGGTGCCTGGTTCAGGGGCATGTCCTGCAGCTGGGGGCCAGGCGATCCATGCCCATTGAGGTGGGGTGATCCACCCATGGGGGCGGGGTGAGCCTCTCTGACGCTTGGAGCCTCTCTGCTGGCTTCCTCTCAGCTGTAGGGCGGCTGAGGGAGAGGCAGTAGGCAGATGCAAGTCCCACACTGCTGTTTCAGACAGCACGGAACCTGCAGGCGCCTAAGCCACCACGTTGCTCCTAAAAATGTCCGTGAGCCCATTTTTTTTTAAAAAAACCCTCATTTTGTCACCCCCCTCAGTGTTGACACCTGGGGCAGACCACACCCCCTGCACCCCCTTCTTCCACCACTGGGGGTGCTAATGCTGTGAGACCCTTCCATCATAGGCTCAGATTGTATATTTGTGCCAATAAACCATATATCATAAAGACAACACAGTCTCCACTAAGCCTCAATCCAAGAAGAAACACAAACTCTGGGTGAGCACACTGCTCACAGATTGGGATGGTGTGCAACAATATGCTTCTCAAAAGGGCTTGTCAGAGACATGTACAACAATTTCATCTATTTATGATATGGTGCTACATGCACCCCAATCTCTAAGCAGTGATGGAAGTCGGGGTCTCTGTGCAAATCTTGGGTATGGTTTCCTTGGGGGCTTGTGGCCTCTTCATGGTATATGTATATATGGGTCTATGTATATGTGTGTGTGTGTGTGTGTGTGTGTGTGTGTGTGTGTACACACACACACACACACACACACACACACAACAAACAAACAAACACAAACACACACACACACACAAGCTGAGCATAAGGTTCAGAGTATTAACACTTCAACAGCTCTAGTCCCCCCCATTAGGGTTCTGGAGGTCACCAAAGCTACTGCTTTGGATTCTCACAGAGAGCATATCAGGCTTCTATGTATTCCCAACTCCAGCTGCAAGGGTATATATGCACAGCCAGGAGAGTCACACTATAGCACAAGAGGGACCTTCCAGACGTGGTAACCCTAGGGAAGTGTTGAACAAAAACGAATAAATTGGAATGATGTGTGGACGGTTCTTCATAATGCCACCACTAACGCAATATAACTGTGTCAATGACATTTTGCAACATACATCTGCAAAACCCCACACAAGCCTGGAGGGGCTGTATATGAGGGCACATTATATTCAGACAGTAACCTTCCTCCAATTACTTAGGGTGTTCACAGGACTTGCCTTCAAAATAATTCCATTCATGTATCTTGCAAGGGAGATAATGTATGCATGCCACAACAGAAGCCCAAATGTTACTTTGGCTCCAATTATATTATATGGTGATACAACTCGCAGTTTATTATTCTGCCCGTTATATGTTGAACCATGAGAAAAATGGTTAGCATTCATCTTTCTACAGTGGGTGGATCAAACATCTAACAAGATTGTGACAGAGTGATTATTAGATAAACCCGCTTTATAGAACTTATTATATGGTGCTATCATTTGTCACAGGTGCCAAGAAATCACATGCACATTTTTAAAAATGCATTTTATTAATGGCTTTTATCGAGTTGAGTTATATGAGCAGTGAATATAGTAGATATGGATTTTATCAATGATGTATTTTTGAATGCTATTGATGTACATCATATATTGTCAGTTGTTAATTCTGCAGAATGAATTAAGTGATGTTTGCATAGGCCTTTGGCTATATGCAACGGATTTTATTACTATGGTGGAGTGTTTGGGGCTTTCCCACCTTCAAGGAAACCCTTCCCACATTAACTGGACTGCTGAAGAACTCCTGCTGTGGAACTTCAGTGCATGGAAGAACATTTCGGGGCCTGCTTTCTGGCACATTTGGGGAAACCTAAAGAAACCACTCTTTGCATATTCTGATACAAATCAGTCTGATCCTCACTTCCCTGGCCAGTGTGTGGATTGGAATAAAGCTATCCAGCTCACTTTTCTGAAGGCTGCAACTCAGTTTTCAGTTCAAAAAGGGATATCAAAATAGGTTTTGAAATGTATATTTTGAGAGAAAATACATGTTCAATAGCTAGTTAAATAAAAAAAAAGTTATGCTTTGTTTTTAAACATCTGTAGCTTAATGTGAAATGGATTTATGGGGGAACACAGTAGAAGCTGTTGTAGTGAGGCAGAGCCATTCTTCCAACATCAGTGTCACTGCTGCTTACCTGGAGAAGGCCCAGATGGGGCAGGCTGCCGACATGGTGCAGACATATCGGTGAATGCCATCAAGATTGACAGAATGTAGAGCAGTGCTGGAGGGCTGGTCTTCATGACTGCAGAGTGAAACACTGATGGAGAAAAAGTGGCAATCAAGGTGGAGTCTCAACAGCAAGCACACATATTCCCAGTGCTATTTTTCTAGAACTCACCATGAACTCACTCATTCTCTTAGAGTGGCAATGGCACCCACCTGAGAGGTGCCGAAACTGAGTTCTGGCGAGTTCTGACTGAGAACAAGCGCTGCATGTTTATTTGCTAGGGACCAGTCCTACCATTAGCCTGCATGAGGCAATTGCCTCAGGTGGCAGGTGCTAGGGGGCCACAGCCCTCCTGGCTATTCCTCCTTAACCCCCTGTCCATTCCCCTCTGTTGAAGATCAGAGCTGCGACTCTCCTCAGCCTTTTCAGCTCTGCTGGCTGTTCCACTTTGTTGTTTAAGTAAGATTTATCTGCCAGTCCAGTTCCCTTCTCTAAATTGAATGGGTGGCAGCGTCAGTCTGCTCTTTGCCTCGGGCAACAAAATGTCTTGGTGCAGCTCTATTTTCTGTGGAAGGGGCTTCACACACACACACGTTAAACAGATGTGAAACAGCAAAATACTATGGCCCATACTTTCCTTGGGTTTTCCCTTGACCCCAGTTTATCAGAAGATGATATTACTCCATCAATTAGGCCGATGTTCAAATATCTCCTTTCCTGGTTGCATTTCTCAGTAATTACAGACTAATCAGCAGTGATGACATTTAAACTTGCAGTGGAAGATTTCACAATCAAAGGCTGACTCAGAATGACTGGTTCAACACTGCTAAGAGCTGTATTCTCTGTATTCTCACAGGGAGCAAGTCATGTCTGTGTCCCTTTTGGACGTAGGTCCAGGACTCCAGCGTATTTCTTTCATTCACAAACACTGATCTGTTAACATAATATCCAGCCAGGCGATCTTACCATTTGTTTCCAAGGCAACAAATCACCTACACTTGGGCATCTCCTTAGTTACTCAAAAGCCCATCATTCCAACAAAATGGAATCTACAAGGCTAACCTTGTTGAATTGGTTTGACCTCCTTAACCATCTCTTTTTACAACCAATTTCATAGGTCAGGGTGGTGGGAGTAGAATTATTGAGAGATCATTCAGAAGCCCCCGACCCATTATAATATCCATTACAATTATAATACATTATAATTTATTTCTACATATGTCCTACCATTTTCTTTACATGAAAGGATGATATCCACAAGCATTAGTTGAACTTGTTTTATGAAGAGAGGAGAGGTGTGAACAAAACTTCTTTTCCTCGAAGAACTGAACCCATGGCTGACTTGTAAAATGAGTACCGGTTTCAAAAAGATAAGAATCAGAATGTAAGAACTGGCTTCCTAGATCACACAAAGGTCTAGCCTAGCCTAGCCTCCTTCCTTTAGAAGTGGCCAGCCAGATAAGCAGGGCATGCTGGAGTTGGTGATATTCCACCGTTTGTGCCCAGCACCTGGCGACCATACTGCTTCTGAACCCAGAAAAGCCATTGTTTGCCAAGATGGGTAACAGACATGAACAGATTTATCCTCTATGAGTTTATCAAAGTCTATGCACATGTATATGGGGGTAAAGGCCTTTTAGTTGGGTTTCCTTCCAAACAAACATTCACAGGCTTGTGCTGTCATCTGTTTTTGAGGCCTCAGGTCATTCTGATAGGGTGACAATGTGTTCTTACTTTACAAAGGTGAGTCCTGCATTGGAAGAACTTCAGAAGACAACCCCCTGTTTGTAGGGCTGTCTGGTCCAAGTCAAGCTTAAAGATAAAGAAGCATAAGAAGACAGAACAACAGCCTTGATCAAAGAATCATAGAATTGTAGAGTTGGAAGGGACCCGAGGATCATCTAACCCAATCTCCTGCAATGCAGGAATACGTAGTTGTCTCATATGAGAATCGAACCTGCAACCTTGGCATTAACCGCACCACACCCTAGCCAACTAAGATAGCAACGCAGTTGGCACATGGGCAGCAGACTGAGCAAGCATACAGGTCACTTGGACATAGTCCTCCAAGCTATGGTGGGATGTATTAGATTATCATATCTCCATTTATTATCTCCATTTATACATATAAACAGGGCTTTTCTTCAGCCAGAACTCGCTAGAACTCAGTTACGGCACCTCTCAGCTAGGCGACATTGCTGTTATAAGAAAACAAGGGAGGAGTTCACAGTGAGTTCCAGCACCTCTTTTCTAGAAAAATAGCACTGCATAAAAACTATACATGCACACTTTATGCAAATGTGCATCCTCTTTTATTTTTTGGGTGACGTGTAAGTGGTCACCCTACATTAGCAAGAAAGGGGGTGAAAATTATCCCCAAGAATTTAGCCACAGTATGTCAGGAAGCTGGAGCATTCATCTACCCAGCTGGTGTTCAGTCAAAGTTCTGACTAAGTCCCCTTGAAATAAATGGATAAAAATGAATTTTGGTTAGCTTAAGTCTCAGTGTTTCCAATGGGATGTGCAGCACAATCGTACACATTATTTTCTCAATGAGGTTTACCCACTAGTGAGTGGGGGACCTAGGTCTTTGCAGGGGTCCCATGAAAAGAGCCTTTGGAGGTGGGACCAACTGCGCGGCAGGTCTCCTTTTGTGCGTTGCCACAATAATTAAACAATCACTCTCAGTCATGCCGAGCCTGTCAGATCAAAAGCTCACTTGAAAAGCTTTTCTCTCTTTAAGTCATCCCTGTGCAGAGAACTGTTTAATACCTATGTACTTTACCTGGCTGCAAAATGGTGCTCTTCGTCTTGCAGTCTCATGAGTCAGGTTGGAGCTGCCATGCCAAAGGCTGATTGCCCAGTATATGAGGACAGCTGGTCTGGAATTCAGCCTGCTGCAGTGAGACCCCTACCCTACAGAGTAGACCGTTGATGGCATCGGAAAGGCGCGAGTTGTCAGCAGACAACGAACTAGCTCCCTCTCATACTCACTCATTTCTGGTACTTACTCTCTGACACAGGAAACTGCAGCTCCTTTGCCATCTCAGAGCGAGATGAGGCCCCGAAGTATCAATAGGGCTCGCAAGGCCAACAGTGAGAAAGCCCCAGACCACACCACATCCCACTTCCTGATTCGTAAAGGTGATGTGTACGGGTGGGGAATCGAGTGTCAAAAAGTGTCGAGCATAGAGTAGACTGAAACGATTGATAGATAAGAGACAGGCCTCTCCCCCCATAGCCCCCTGTCAGCCTTGCATGGCCCTAGCAAGGGAGAAGGAGCCTCAGTCATACCCTAAACATGAGTCAAAGGCCTGGAAGCCCTTTAGCTGGGCTCACTGCCAAGACAATACTGTCCAGGGGCTCTGGAGGTCTTCTGCCTCAAGCCTTTGTCCATCCTTGATCAGGTCAAATGTCCATCTAGTGGTTGTGGCCAACTACATGCCTCTGGGAAGCATGCCCATAAAGCACGGTGCTCCTGGCCATTCCTTTCTGTTTGTCCTAGGATCTAATAATCAGACAATGTTCCTAACCATCTGAGCAGTTGAGCTCTTGACTAAACTGCCTGGGAAGGTTGAGGTTGAACGTTTCCAAGAAGAGGCTAATGTTTGTTACATAAGGTTTTAAAGGGTGTGGGGCTCTTGTTTTTGTGTGATTCAAGGACATACATCAAGAAGTGTCAGCACTTCAAAAGACACATATGCAGGTGCGATTGACTGAGTCAGTTCTGAAGCCGGGGCTATCCCCATTTAAAAGATCTGCACAAAGAGGTTTTGCAATGACTGGTTCTGTTTACCACTTAGCCAGTCAGCTGCAGTACTAGGACCAGAAGATCCCAGGAGTTTACACATGCACATTGTTCATTGCTTGAGAAGTGCATTGTCAACTGAGGGGTTTTGCATGTGTGAAAGAACCATCACAGTTCAAATGGCCACAGGGGCTATCAGCCAAGAGGCAAGGCAAAAAGAGAATAAAAACACATCACTTGTAGCCAGAATGTCCATATCATCTCCAACTCAGGCACATCTGCACCACACATCTAAAGCACTGGGCTTCTGGGTCCTTCACAGTGCCTCAGAGCAGCTGATCAGACAGACCCTCACCACCTCAAGTGGGAACTCCCCTTCAGCTGCATGTGAAAAGTCTCCATTGCACCTTTAAGGCTGGGTTCGCTGCTCTACTTGCTACTGAAGCATCAACTTAATCTGCTCCAAGAGCACTGCTGTTCCTTCCTCCATTTTAACACTTAGCTCACAGATCTTCTCCCAGAAAACAATATTCCACTTCTAATGTCAGTGCTATGTGTGCCCTAGTCTCTGAGTGCTGAAAGACATCATGGGTGCAAGCGCTTACCTCAGCTTCAGTTTCCTTGAAATTAAGGCCACTGGAGTTGGTGGTGTCTTTTAGATATATGGTTTTATTTATGATGATGACAACAGCAGCAACAACAACAATTTATTTATACCCCGCCCATCTGGCTGGGCTACCTCCAGCCACTCTGGGTGGCTTCCAAAAAAATATTAAAATACTGTAATACATATATATAAGCTGACTTGTGGCATTAATGTTCCAGCAGATCTTGTTCCCCCATTAGGGTTCCAGCGAGGCCCCCAAAGCCATAGCTTTGGTTTCAGTACAGGGAGCAAGTCAAACTTCTGTGTCTTCTCAGCTTCCAGCTCCAGATGAGACTAGCCCAGACTAGCCCTTGGCTTCTCGTTCTTTATGGCAACACATCTGTACTTGGCCAACTCTTTAGACATGTGAAAAAGGCGCTTAGCAGGCTCAGCTGGGGTCATTAAATGAACAAAGAGACTGGTTTGACTACTGCAGCTGTTCCTTCTACTACAGACTCCCATCTTACAGATATAAAACCACAGGCCTGGAGCAGACCCAAAGAGACCATTGAAAGCAACCCGCAAACCTGTAGCACTATAATGAAGATGATTTCTAATTACAAGGTCAGATGTTTTGGACAGCAGCTTTTGTCAGACTGTGCTATACAATGATTTTGAA